ATACGGCGGCATGTATTGGGTTGGCCCATAAGTAATTACGTTTTTTCTCACGCAAATTTTTATATGGGAAATGGTAATTTTTCCCAATGTGTCCTACATTGTTTGATAATTAATTTTCTGCTGTATAAGATAGTGTCGTTGCCTTTCATTTGACTAAAATGAAGTTTTGGGTCGACACAAAAGTAACCTTTTGACAACAACTTTTTGCCCTTTATCTCTCCTCTCAAATTACAGAAGAAGCTCAAAACTTGTATATATGACAAAATAAAGATGCTTTGTATGATAGCTTGAAGTTGGTACAAGCGATCGGGAGATGGGAATCCGTACCTTGTAATTGTGAATCGCATGGAGAACCCTCTTGGGAGTTTTGGAGCTGTTTTATATGATAACTGCTGTTTTACGCCGCAGTTCGCGTTGCGAAAGTTATCACAAGAATGCTGAGTTATGGGCAAAAGTCCCAGGCGGGAGTCGAACCCGCACCTCACGCTTTCCGGGCGAGTGCGCTATCCGTTACGCCCCTCTTGGGAGCTTCTGGCTGCAGAACCAACCTGTCAACTTTTGTACGTCTAACATCAAATGAGGGTGAGGCTTGATGATTACAAGAAAGCATTCTATGACCTTCAACGATTCCTCAATTTTTGGCATGAATCTCTGTAAATAAGGTTGGACTCAATAGGGCATTAGGTTCGATGCTTGTCTGTGAGGTCGAAATGAAATCTTCGAATAACTTAAACCCCTTGTAAGCATTCCTAAGAGACATAGCCTCTTGGCCATATACTTAGCAACTGGGCCTGTGCGGTTTTAGCTTTCCCCAATTAGAGGTGAAAAAAGAGGCTGTCGAAAATGCTCAGTTTCGTCGACCTGACACTCCACGTTTGAGCACTTAAATATCAGTGGGAGGAGAAGCTTGTAGAAAACTAACAGGACTATCGTGTAGGGGAAGGAATTTCCTGTAAAACAGTATAGAACTCAATGGCAAAATCTTTTATCTTTAGTGCGATATTTTGAGTGAGAAAAAACCGATTACTCATCGGCAGACCCAATATGTACTCGCACATCCATGCTGAGCCGTTTTATATGAATTCCTATCCCTTCGCTTCATCTTGTACTTCGCAAATGAATTAGTACGACCATAAGCATCAGTTTAACATTTGTGGGTGGGAGGGCATGGTGGTCGCTATGTTGCAGCTTGATAAGGCGCTATAGGTTACATGCCTTGGGAAAGTTGCCGTGCAGCGCTTGCTCAGGGGCGCCGAAATCTGTCCTGCTAAGCGTGTTTATCCTACATGTCTTGATGATTTATCGTGCCCCCTTGCCTTGAAAAGGTGTTTTATATCCAAATGAGAAATGTAAAGCTGAACAACCAAGCTTCTCGTTGAGCTTTCAGACTTTCATTACTCCAGCCAGATTATGAGAACACAATGTTTTTACGCGTAGTGCTTCTTAATAGCTGCTGCGTCTGATTTATCCCGTGTTGTTCATTGTGCCAAGTGCGAGACGACGCTGTTGGAGGTGTGTGGGATAAGTTGTTGGGATGCTCCACTATTTGGGAGTTGTTTGGGGGTCTATACGATAAAGCTCGACCAGGTAACCTGCACATAGAAAACATCCAGCCATTTTCAGGTTTTCAAAACGACGAGCTATTCGCGACGTCCGTCTAATGCAGCTGTTCCATCGAACCAAACTTGTGTGGCATAACAATAATTAAACACCTCACTGTTTTATTTTCTTCTCTCCACGGAAAGGGTTTGAACGAGGACTCTTTTTGGTCATACAGTGTAGATTGCCTGAGCGGGGGAAAAGAGGAACAGGAAACGGAAGGGAGGGAAAGAAAGAAGATCGATCGAAGGAACAGAGAGAATATGACCAATACAGAGAGAACAGGGGAATGATCAACTACAATATAAGCTACAGGGAAGAGTTCAACGATTACGCTGAAGAATGTCTTCAATGAAGAACATCAGGAAAATGATGCCCTCACGGACAAAGAAAACCCTAGTGAACGTTTAGTGTTCACGTCAAGGCCTTCCGAATAGCACTTCTCCCCCCCCCCCTGGCAAATTTTTTCGAAGTTGGCTTTTGGCACTATACTACACAAACACGAATAGCAGCTATAGAAGCTGCGTCCTCGACCACCTTCAGAGGAGGGTTAAAACGCATTTAGCAAAGTTTTATGCCGCGACTCGTTCATCCGAGGCACACCATGACAGTAAGGAAAAACGGGCCGCTCAACGCGAACGCTACCTCTGGTAAGATCTCAGCTTTACAATCCAACCTAAACTACTTTCACACCCAGTTTTCCAGAAAAGCAAACCCGTCGATGGTGTCAGTGGAACTCACAAATGTCATGGACTCCTCAAAATAAGAAGTCCGTTCTTCCTTGTGTTCACCACGTCTTTTCCAACAGGTACAGGCCTCTTCAAGTGCGACCCTCTCAGAGACGATATTCTCGCTAATGCGGCGTTCACACCTTGCGACACAATGGTGGCGCGAAACTGATTATGCTCTTCCGCTAATCGCTGGACCACCGCAAGGCCACAAGTAAGCCTTCGCCTCACTGCGATTAAAACAGTAGTTCAGCGCCGCCGATTATCGGTGAAGCTCTGTCCATTACAATCGTGCGATTTTAGTCAACTGAATGGCTCCAGTCGCGAGGTATGAACGCAGCTCAAGGGCCACGGCGTACCCAACACCTGATTGAAGAACTTAGGACCACATAAGATTTGAATAAACTGGTACAGCCCTATTGTTCATTAGGCCTCACACCACGGTCGGTATAACAATCCTCAAAGGGGTTGTTGCATAAGTTCTTATACACGTGTTTGATCCTCTCCTATTTCGTTCGCATGGATGTTGGTATTACGTCATCACGTGTGCGTGACGTGTACATTATACTCTTTCATTACACTAGCTATCACTCACCGAGCTTGCATTTGCAGTACACAATGTCGCACAATTTGCACTGTGACAAAACGTACCTGCGCCACTGTTTGGTTTTGCTCCACGATTTCGGCTGGAATGCAAAGGAAGCCATACCAAGCTGGTGGATACATACGGTGAGGACGTCATCTCTTACATGACATGCAAGAATTGGTTCGCCAAATTCAAGAAAGGAGACTTTTCTCTCGAAGATGCTCCGAGGTCGGGTCGGCCGATGGAGTTGGAAGTACTACGTTCCACCGTGGAGGAGGACCCGTACCTCACCACCAGAGAAATGGCGACCATGCTTAGCTATGATCATTCGACGGTTGCACGTGGACTAGAAAAGCTCGGCAAGGTAGCAAAGCTTGGTCGATGGGTCCCACATGAACTGTCCGCTTATGACCTCTCGAGGAGGGTGACCACCTGCACTCTCCTCACTTTCCAAAAGAGGCTTCACTTTCTCAACTCGATGATCACTGGAGATGAGAAGTGGGTCCTCTACGATAACCCTGTGAGGAAGCGGCAGTGGGTCGACAAAGGAGAACAGCCAGAAGCCACCCCAAAGGCCGACCTTCACCCCAAAAAGGTTCTCCTGTCCTGTTGGTCCAGAAGAGGCATGGAGTACTGGGAGCTGCTGGAGAAGGGACAGACGATTGACGCTTCCACATACGTGACCCAGCTGCGGAAATTGAAAGATCACGTCGACCGTACTCGTGGAAGGAATGCGGAAATCTACTTCCACCATGACAACGCCCGACCTCACACTGCAAAGGCGACCCAGGCCGAGCTGGAGAAGTACGGATGGCTGATGGTCGCCCACCCTCCCTACAGCCCTGACCTCGCTCCTTCTGACTACTGGCTGTTCAGCCACCTGCAGCGCTATCTGGACGGAAAAAAGTTCGAAACAAAGGATCAGGTCAAGGCGCTCGACGACTTCTTCAAGTCCCAGCCTCCGTCGTTCTGGAAGGATGGAATCGACAAGCTGCCTGAGCGCTGGCGTCGAGTAGTGAATGGTGATGGTGCATACCTCTAATCTCCAGGCTGGTTCGTTTTTGAGATATTTACAAAAAAGTCGTGTATAAGAACTTATGCAACAACCTATAGCAAAAGTGCAGACTGCCCCATCCAAGCCGAACGGCGCCCTATGTTTAAACACAGCACATTTTACATAGCACCAATTGGCTGCACGGGTTGCAGGGCGAAAATAGCTCAACTCGAAATTCGTCATCAACCTAGAAAACCCAAATATTGTTAACTATCGTCACCCTTACATTTGCAGAAAAGTCATTCATCCCTGCAGGACTGACAACACATGAAAAACACTCAAAAGCATTCAGTTTTATGACAAACAACGTCAAAAATTAAAAATTGAAAAAATGATTCATATATAAATAAATCAATAATATTAATCAGTTTTCAAGAAACAAAAATGACAAACGGTGTTGTTAAAACGATAAATCGTACGAATTGGTGTTGTGTGGGGTGGATGGGTAGGTGTGACAGGTGTTGAAGACTAGGAGCGAGCTGTGGTAATATGGGTGAACGTGGCACCGCCATGTAGCAATTTACATGTCTCAGAACGAAAAACGAACATCGTTCGATCGATAACAATAAATAGAAGATTGTATGGTAAAACATATGAGAGAGAGAATACACACGCAACTAGTAGAGTCGAGAGAAATGAAACAAATTAGCGAGCATTATATAACAGTTAAATAGACGAATAGAAAGTATGTGGAGGGTGTGTGTGTGCCTGTCACGATGGTACTGCGAAAACGAGCGTAAAAAAAGAGGAAATACAAAAACATATTATATAAAAAAATAACGCAAAAGCAGCGAAAGTGGGAGAGACCATGATATATTCGACACACTCCAAACATCACCTATATAGTAGGGGAATCGTCGCGAAGCCGAGCTGGAGCTGCACATCTACGGGCAGCACCTCTTGTCCAATTATTGAGCGTTTTACTCGCAACATAGAACAGATGAGAAGAGCTTCACGACGATGACCGTGCTGGGGAGAAGACGACGAGGGGCAGGCAAATAGGGGAGTGAAATGCGCAATTTCACCAATCGTATCAGTTCCAAATCTTCAAGAAACTGTCCCATGAGCCAGTGCAAACCGCCATACCGTCTTCCGTCACTCCAAGACATGATACTCGGTTATCATGCCCCGCTAACACACCTGAAAGTACGAAAATAAATTAATGTTCTAAATACAAAGTACAAAGTGATAATAAGGCCTGTTGAAGTCGTTTTATTGCGATAGCTGATGTTTTACGTCGCAGTTCGCGTTCCGAACCTATGCTGAGTTGTAGGCAAGAGTCTGACCCCAATCGGAACTCGAACCCGCAACTTTTTTCCGGGCAAAGCGCTGTCCTTCACGCCACAAGGGCATGCTACTGCATAAAAGCCGTTAAGCTGGGTAAGTGCGGTCCTGATCGCGTAACGGATAGCGTACTCGCCCAGAGAGCCTCTGCTATTTAAAAAAAACCCCCAAGATCCCACAGTCGCAGTATGGCTCAATCATTCAAGCTGACATAGCACTTCAACGAACTAGTGAGCACACCATTGACTAGAAGTTCTCAAAACTGTGGGTCCTTTACCTCGCTAAAACTCTTATCTACTAATGAGGTAAAATGCGGCCCTCTTCTATAATCGGACCAGCGGCCCCCTTCTATAATCGGACCCTCCCAGGCGTTCCACACAGCCAGCGACCCTGGCGAATTTGACGCACAAGTGGCGATTTTCGTACATATCGATATAAATAACCGACAAGCCATGCTGATGCTCCGTGGCTCATCGAAAAGGAAAAGGGCGTTAGATACGTGATTGATTGCGTTCGGTCGGAACAAGCGAAGAAAACAAAGCAAGAGCGAAACAGAAAGAACGGGAACAAGCGATGAGAAACAAGGCGAATGGAGCGAAAGAACGCCAACTCTGCGCGCTCGCTTCGCTTATTTTCACGATCGAGGAACATTTAAACTTCTCAGAGAAAGTCGATCCTGGAGGATTAAAGCTTCTTTCGCTGATTCTGCAAAATGAATCTCTTCAATTTCATTCGGAATGGTTTGGCATGGAGGAGCCATGCCTAACCATTCCGAATGAAGTCGAAGAGATTTAGTAGATTGTCGCTCCGTCATTTCAGTGAAAATCCACCCGGAAACGTCCTTAAACTTGGAAAGGGATGAGAGTGATGTAAAGTTGAACCCAAACTACGCTCCTTCGCTGAGACAATGAAGAAACGTGAGCCATGCATAAGGACGAAAAGTTAAGATTTAAGCCCTATCAAAGCTAACTAACTGATCGGTGACCAATCTTTCTTTGGAATGCGCCACAACACTACTTCCGTTCAGAATCGTGACGCAGAGAAAAAGGTGTCCCATTAATGGCTTGTGGCTACTGTACAACACAGCGCTTTTTGTGATACCCAGGCAAGTCAGCACCAACTTAGGGGCCCCGGAAGGATGTAACGCTTCCCGGGAGGCAGCCGGTCCAGGACTTGACTGCGGAATGGCAAGTGATAGGGGACGGCACTTGCCATTCACGATCTCCATCCCATAGGTGTGCGGTGGACAACACCACCATTAAACCGAGAAATTTTCAAACCAATGGCAGCCAGGCCTCAAACTACCTCACTGCTACCAGTACAGGGCAGTAGTTGAGGTGGTAATGGCGGGGCGCTTGTGAATTTCGGAGGTACCCCCGAGAAAATTTGATGCCCTTCACGCAACACCACAATCCATCCCTCACAGTTTAATTATTTTCTTCCATGAAAAATCAATACGGAGCGAGCCGACAAAGCGCTGGCAATTTCCTGAGGGCCTGCAACGGTGGAAATAGAACGTGAGCGTGATAGACGCCGACAGCTAGAGGACTAGAGATAGAGCGGAGCGAGAAGGCACCGTCACGACTGATGCTATCGGCGAACGAGAGGTCTCAAAAAGCAATGAGTCGAGAACATATCAAAAGAAACGTACCATGACAAGCTAATCTTTATAAAGGACACTTATAAACGAAAGGGAACACGACCACACGAAATGACAGTGTTGGTCCGTAATATTCTAGCAATTCTAACAATGACGGGCGCAATAAGTGCGAAACGTCTTACCTGCTCGTTCTTGCCTCATTGAATCCCAGACATTACAGTTAAAATCGTCATATCCAGCGAATAACAGCCGACCAGATTTTGAGAAAGCTACGCTAGTAATACCTTAAAAGTGCATGCATTTGAATGGGTTCATAAATGAGGTAGTTAACACGTACGAACCGCCAAGCTTACCGCAAATAATGTTATCGTGAGAATACATGGCCAATTCCTGATCTGCACGAATATCGAAGAGACGGCAAGTGGCATCATCTGATCCAGTGGCAAAAGCATAACC